ACAGGCTCCGGACGCGCAGGCTCAGCGGCCGTGGCTCACAGGCCCAGCCGCTCCGCGGCATGTGGGATCTTCCCGGACCGGGGCACGAATCTGTGTCCCCTGCATCGGCAGGCGGACTCTCAACCACTGTGCCACCAGGGAAGCCCTGTCTTATTTTCTTAATTCTCTCCTATACTTATGATTTCTCTTTTCATTTTGACTATCGTGAGTTTTCCCTCTCACTCTTTTTTTTTTCACCCCCTTATTAGACTCTGATTCTTTAATCATGTTTCAGAGAGCTAGCTTTTGGACTTATTTATGCTTTCTATAACTTCTTTACTTTATATTAATGTCAAATAGTATCTCTTAGTTCCTTCTTCCTAGTTCATTTTGATACAGTTTGTATTTTTTCTAATTTCTTGTTTACTGGGTTTCCCCCCTGCCTCTGCCTTTTAAAAATATTAAAAGCTATTAAGGCCATAAATTTACTTCTGAATACAAATTTTGCTAGGTCACCTGGGTTTTTATTATGATTATTAAATTATAGCTATTTTTTGTTGTAGCTTACTATGTAGATCATAATTTCTCTTTTGATTTCTTCTTTGATCCAAAGATTATCTAGGTCATCTCGTCATTTATAACAAAATATTTTTGGTACCTTTTCCTAAATTTTCTATATTACGTATCTCTGAAATTAGTTTATTGTTAATATAATTTCTGTTTTTTGTTTTTTGGAACTATATTTGTCTCTTCTACAAGGTATACTGAAATAACTCAGTATATTTGTATCTTTTTTTTCTTTGCTTTTTAAAAAATTTTTGAATTTTATTTATTTTTTTATACAGCAGGTCCTTATTAGTCATCAGTTTTATACACATCAGTGAGTGTATTTGTATCTTTAAAAATAAAATTATTAAAGCTCTAATAAGTTTTGCTTTATTACCTGCTGTGTTATTTGGTATATACAACTTTATAACTCATATTGGTCATAAACTGTATATTTTACAATTGTATAATCTTTATCCTACTCGATACTTTTTTTAACTCAAACTTATTTAATTAATTTATGTATTTGGCTGCGTTGGGTCCTCATTGCTGCTCATGGGCTTTCTCTAGTTGCAGCAAGCAGGGGCTACTCTTTGTTTCGGTGTACAGGCTTCTCACTGCAGTGGCTTCTGTTGTTGCGGAGCACAGGCTCTAGGCGCGCAGGCTCAGTAGGTGTGGCTCGCGGGCTCTAGAGTGCAGGCTTAGTAGTTGTGGCACACGGGCTTAGTTACTCCGTGGCATGTGGGATCTTCCCAGACCAGGGCTGGAACCCGTGTCCCCTGCATTGGCAGGTGGATTCCTACCCACTGCGCCACCAGGGAAGTCCCCACTCAATACTTTTGACCTTGAAACTATACCTCGATCGATACATGTTTCTCTGCATTTTTTGCAGAGAACAAAATAAAAATTAAAACAAAATACTATTTTCCCCAAAAGATGCACATTTTTCTCCCAGGTGTCTTCTTGACCATGAAAAGATGAGACCTTTAGAGTACTTTTATTTTCTGCCTCTCTTCTGTTTTCCCCTCGTTCTCTTCTTTCAGATCTTGGGAGTACTTTTACTTCTGCCTCCCTCCATCTCCCCTGCCTACAACTCTTTTATTTTGAATAGACTGTTTAGTACATCTTGAATAGATATCTATTAAAATTTCTTTGGGGATAAAGTCCTTTGTTTCAAGAGTCCTTATTTATCATGTAAGTTATACATTCTTAGATATTCGGTTATTATCTAAATGTATATTACATGATATAAACTGAAAGATTCGTTACTTATATTACCCTTTCTCATCATCTTCCCTGTTACCATGTCTCTATTCTGGTTTATTTTTTCTTATTCAGAACCCTTTCTCAATTATTTTTCTCAGTTGGGGTAACTGAGAAAATATACTCTCTCAATTCTTCCATATTTGCAATTTTTTTCCTATATCAAAGTGTAAGTTTTGTTGGTATGGAATTCTTTTCTCCTTGTCCCCTGTGAATGTTATTCAACTCTTTCTTTCTCTTTTTTTAAAATATAACAGATTAGAAGTCCAATGAGGAGCTGATTTTTTATCTTTTATAACTTACTTGCTTTTTATAGCTGGGTGCTTAAATATGATTCAGCATCCTTGAACTTTTATCCCTGATACCTTTTAATGTACATTTTCTTTTATTATAATACTCTACTTTTTGCAGTAATAAAATATACATAGTATAAAATTTACCATTTTAACCATTTTTAAGCATACAGTTCAGTGACATTAAGCACAGTAAACAGTGTTGTACAACCATCACTGTCATCCGTCTCTAGAACTTTTTCATCTTCCCAAACTGAAACTTTGTACCATTAAACAATAACTCCTCCTTCCACAGCCCCATTCAAGCACCATTCTACTTTCTATTTGAATTTGATGACTCTAAATACCTCTTAAAAGTGGAATTATACAGTATTTGACCTTTTGTGACTGTCTTGTTTCACTTAGTGTAATGCCTTCAGGGTTCATCCATGTTACTATGTCAGAATTTCCTTGTTTTTTAAGGCTGAATAATATTCCCTTATATGTTATGTGTGTACCACATTTTGTTTAGCCATTCATCCATCGATGGACATTTGAGTTTGTTTCCACCTTTTGGCTTTTGTGAATATGCTGCTATAAACTTGGGTGTACAAATATATTTTCGAGTCCCTGCTTTCACTTCTTCTGGGTATACACCCAGAAGTAGAATTGCGGATCTTATGGTAATCTGTGTTTAATTGTTTTGAGGAACTGCCATACTATTGTATTTTCCATAGTGGCACCACCATTACACATTTTCATCGGCAGCACACAAAGCTTTTATTTTATCCACATCTGTGCCAATCCTTGTTATTTTCTGTTTCTTGATTATAGCCATTCTAATGGGTGTGATTTTAATATACATTTTTAATCTGTCAGTTTAAAAGAAATCTGTCTCCTATGCTAGGAGGGCTCTGTGACGTTGAACCTGAGAGTAGAGAACTCATAGCACCATGCTTGCTTGGTCTTCTGTTCTTAGAATATTTTATTTTTATAGAATATTTTTAGCCCATTTATATCTGAAATATAAATGACATGAATTCAGTGATTTGCAGTTATACAGGTCTGTATCAGTGTCTTAATCTCAGTTTCCTCATCTGTGAAATGAGGGTCTTTGGTGATTTACTTCCTAGATTGTCTGATTCAGCTGTAGCATCATTCGCATACTTACAGAATAAAGGTCAGAATTACTGCAAGGCATTTTCCAGCCCTCCATAGATAGTGGAAGTCCTCCCTTTCTACCTGTCTTCTCATACATACATGTTAAAGGCCAACAACACAGGTCTACTTATTCCCTAATCATCCTTCATAATCTCTTTTAATTGTTCCTTCTCCCTGATTCTTTCCTCCACTGATTCTAACCTCCCTTCACACTTTGGTTTGGTGGAAGTCTTATTCTAAACGTCAGATAACAGCTGAGATCTCACTTGAAGAAGTCTTCCCAGTTCTCTGTGACCTAAATTAATTTCTAAATTGTTATTCTCATAGACCTTGAATTTTTAGACTTATCACATTATGCCTTTTATTAGAAGGATGTGTGTGTGTGTGATTTTTATTTGACCCTTCCCCATAGTTTAATAAGGTTCTACACTGCTGGGACCATATCTTACTCATATTATGACGTTGTGCCTATGTCAGGGCAAGTAAGTACTTAGTATATTTTAACTGCATTTGAGCAAGAGTGGAAAAAACGTGTATTGACCAGTAATCAGTTTTGTGGCTTGGTGTTGCTATTTTGTCTAGGAAATGTAATCAACAATATTTTCAGTAGATTTTCTTTGTATTTTATATCTACCTTTTAGGACCAGTGTTTCTTAAGTCAGCAATAAAATTAACTACAGCAGGAACTTCATTAAAGCTACAATTTAGGATATGAAATATGAAAGATTTCTAACTTTACCCTGTACATTTCACATATATCATTAGTCACTGTTAGACACTTTGGTCTTGCTTTATATAATTCAGTGCTGGATGTGTATTTTAATGAGAGAGTTTTTGACATCAACATTTTTAACTTTCATCTAATTTATAATATTAACTTTGAGTTCATGGAAATAGCTGCCTCTATAGGTTATGGTTTGAAACTGCTAATAAGTTCAGTCAGTAATACATGATCTTTAGCTCCTAAACTGTGAATGGTAGATTTCACTTTTTGTTCAGATCTATGTCTGAATTGAAAGGGGTCACAGCGTCTGAATGCTGAATAAAGCAGTAGAATGCTAATCAGAAGATAGAAGTACTAGACTCACTCCATTATTAACTTATACTCTGTTCAGGAATCGACATGGGTATTGGTGTCTTTTTTAAACTGGTATTAATAGTCTCTGCTACTTGATAGTTTGTGAAGTGCTTCATCACCACCATTTAAAAAATGTTTCAAATTCTTGTAGCGTTTTGAAGTAGTTATCTATTATCCCTGTTTTATAGATGCGGAGATTGAGACTTAGAGAAATTCAGTCACTGAAGTTTTGGCTAGCAGTAAAATAAGTAATAGTCTTGGAACTAGACCCCAGGATTTACCCCACAGTTAAGACTGTTAGCTGCAATCATGCTGTGGTGTGTTTTTTTGTTTATAGGATTCTACATAAATGCACTGATGTTATTATCAACAAGTTATCTTGAATGTCACTGCGGTGTGTGTGTATATATATATTCCATTGCATGTTTAAATCTGTTTCCCTCAGTGGTGTCTGGTGACAGATTAAGCTTCAGGGGTATGATTTTCATTACTTTCTCCAAGTGAATGATTTTGAAAGCTATCAAAAGCATTTTTCTATTTTTAAAATTTTCCTTCAAACCGATGTTTCCTTTCAGAATTACAAAATAATTTTAAAATCATGATTATCTGATGTTAACTGTTAATCCTTAAGTATATAATTAAAATTTTTGTTCAATACTTGATTAAAAACTATTTCTGAATTTTCTGTCTTTATTCCACAGAATGATAAATAACGCTGATCATCTCTAGAAAAGATATTGATTCACCTCATGTAAAGTATGCTCAGTTCCTTTCCAGTGGTGTAAGTATCTAATTCTTCTCTTAATTTTCATCCTCTCAATTGTTTTAATAAAATTTAAAAATCATTATGATTATGATCCACAAATGACAGCAGGCATTTGTAGAGTTGAAAGAATTTTTTCATAGTTATGTGGTAAGGAATGAATTTTCAAATCTATCAACTTTCTCTTTTACCATTTCTGTTTCAAGTTTGAAGTCTAACATTAATTTTCAATTGAACATAAAATTACATATAATTTTAAACTGCTTAATAGCCTAGAAATTTGTGAAACAGATGGCTGGTATTAAATACCTTGTGACAAGCAGAATATTGGAAGAATGCTACCTTAATGCTGCATTTTGTATGCAAACTACTAAACACCTTAGCCATTTTCTTTACCTACTGGGGATAATAATGTAGTTAAGTCTGTTAGCTAATGTAACTGGTAGACTTTCTTTGGAGTCTGGCAAAAAATACAAATTGGATGGTGTTATTATGTAGAGAGGTTTTTTTGTGCTAGGACATGAGCTGTAACCACTAGTTCATATTAAATAGGCCTCTGAATAAAAGTATTCTAGAGTAGATAAAGTATCTATTAAGTACATCTTTAGAGTCTAGTGCAGAGTGCCTTTAGCGTAAGCATTTTCTAAAATTTGGTTCAACCAATATTTCAATTAAATTCCTTCTGTTTTGGTTGACAGTTCTATAATCCAGTAAGTAGACATTAAGATAGATTTTCCTTGTTATTTAGGTTTTTTGTTAAACTTTTTTCTTCTCTCATTGGCTTTATCATATATCTAAAAGTCTCTGGAATAGGCCAGGTGGTGTGAACTGTAGCCTGAGTTGCTGCTAAGTAGCTGTGTCCTTGGGAAAGGGAAGACACTGTGTTTGCTTTGGGCCTGAGTTTCCCTTTTTTAAAACATACAATTTATTTGTTAATGGCTATTTTCTATAGCCATTAGAATGTAATTAAGCATCATGAGGCCAGGAATTTTTGCCTAATTTGTTCCTTGTTGCATCCTCTCTGCCTTGTACATGGTCTGACACATAGGGGTCACTCAATAAGTGTTAGTTGAATGATTTTTGTCTAAATGGCCTCCTGTTCTCTGATTGCACACCTAATTTATATCTCCCTCTATAAACTTGCATGTTTTTATCAACACTAGGATTTTATTTTCCCAAATGTGTATAAGGTGGCTGTAATTTAAAAATTTCAGCCTTAATTAGTGGTAATTTAAAAATAGCTATTAAAGTATGATTGTAAATTGAATATAATCTTATTTTTCTCGAAATCTTTTTATTATGAAAAGAACATTTTTATACGATTATCTGTAGTCATAGTCTCTCTTCTCTGCGTTAGTCAGTTCTGCCATTGGTTTGAATTATAGAATCATTTTACCATACTGTGAAGCTCAATCCCCAGCAAATCTTCATTTCTTACTTATTCTCACTCTTGTCATTTTCTTACTTTAAAACTGCCTCTCCTTTGATGGTAATGATAATTGTGTGTGTAATGTGCCATAAATAGTAAGAAGGGCCTTAGTACATCTTTAGTTGGGTAATATTATGACTGATGCAATAATGTGTTAAATCATCATGGAATAAATACCATGTATGACAAACAAAACTAATACATGACTAGACCATATTTTGCCTAGTCATTCTAGATAAAAAGATAAAGACAGCAGTCAAGCTGAAGAAAATGCTGTGTTATCCAATAAGGTCTTATTATCTGTTGATGATTTACAGGTAAGGTAGTTGTGTCATTTTTGCACATATGATTTCAAGATTAATCATTTGTGAATGCTTTAACCTTCATGATTATAGGATTTAGTTTAAGAAAGTATGTTCTGGACCTCGGGCCTTATCCAAGAAGGGTTTACATATCCAAGTAGGGGTAAAATTTATTGTAAAATACGTTTACTATTATGGTCTAATAGTATGGTCTTTTAGAATGTCAGTTTATGAACTGAGGCATAATTCCTGAATTTAATTGTTCTTTTATGCTTCAGACATTGTCTGTGTTATTACAGTGTCAAAATTCTTCTCACATCATTTTCAATTACTGTTGGCCTGAGTCTGCATTCAGATTAGTAATTTGAAGTGAAAGATGTTCCTTATCCTGTGAACAGTTCTTCTGCTACATAGGAAAATTAATTCAGTTCTTACATGTTATCTTTTTCTGTTATAAAAGAATTGCTGGTATCATGGACTTAGATGACCTTTGTAGGTCATTTTAGCCATAATTTCATGATTATGCACTTAAACTAGGTGAATTATAGGAAATAAAATTCGAAAATGACAGAATGTGTACCTTTGTTTATGTTAATGCCACTGGAATATTGTTCTCAATATCCAAGAAAGCTTCTAATCTTGGCATTTTCTCAGTAAAATATTGTACCTTCAGTGTCATATGCATGATTTGATCCTGCTCATTATGCCACTATCACTCTGCTATATAGGAGTCATACATTTTATTCTAGCAATTGTAGATCTTTTTACTTAAGGTATATCTTTGTATTAGGGACCCCTCTTGGTGCAAGGCACAGACATCTAATTTAAACAAGGTGAAGCTTAAAGGGAAGTTTATGCTCTTACATAACAATATAGCAAGAAGAGCAGGAGTGGACTTCCGTGGTGATCCAGTGGTTAAGACTCTGCGCTTCCACTGCAGGGGGCACGGGTTCAATCCCTGGTGGGGAAGAAGAGCAGGGATGAGGTAGGGTCTTAGGAATGACTAGAACAAGGGATATGAACACTGTAGAACTTTCCCCTTTGCTCTGCATTTCTTAGTATACCTGCTTTAGTTTCCTATAAACTAGCTTCTTCTGCATGGTGAGGAATATACCAGACTAACACCTTCCCACAGCTGAGCACAGTTACAGTGACTGTCCATCTTCCTTCTACTCTAACCTGAATATTTTGAGGAGAACAAGGCTTGGTTTCCTTGTGTGCCCACGCTGTTGGCCAGAAGGTAGGGTATTTTGAGTGACATCCCCAAGAACATGTGATTGGAAACAATGAGGCATTCTGTGCAGACAAAATAATAGGTGCCTTCTGTTATCTCCTTTTATGACTTTGGATTAAAAATGTTTCCCATAGTCAAGGAATCTGAAATAACACAATATTACATTGCTTCAGATACTGTGGAATCTTTAGTTCTGGTAGTTCTAATATAAGCTTTAGGATGGATACTTTTCAGTTAACAGGTTAAATTCTTGTAATTTATTTTAGTTTTATGCTAATATATACAGAGTGCTGTTCCATACAGAGAGACATTTGAAGAATTATATACAGAATACTATCTGCTCTGATATAAATGGGATAGGAAAATATCATAATTGATTTTTTTTTGTCTGTATAATAAAACAGTCCTTGAAATCTCGTATCTAAACAAGGTCAGTTTATGATGAATTTTGAAAGTATGAAGACCTTCAAAGCATGAAGTTAGCAATGGACAACTCCATTTTCAAGAGAAAGGAATAATGTACAGAAACCTGAATTTACCAAATCATTAAGTTAAGAGGTAAATTATTTGGATTTCTAAAGGGATTTGGCAGCTACTTTAAAAAATTTTTTTATTTTTTATGCTTTTGCGGTACGCGGGCCTCTCACCGCTGTGGCCCCTCCTGCCGCGGAGCACAGGCTCTGGACGCGCAGGCCCAGCGGCCATGGCTCACGGGCCCAGTCGCTCTGCGGCACGCGGGATCCTCCCGGACCAGGGCACGAACCCGCGTCCCCCGCATCGGCAGACGGACCCCCAACCACTGCGCCACCAGGGAAGCCCTTGGCAGCTACTTTTAAAAAGAACTTCCTAGGATTAAGAATTAATGTGTTACTAAGCACTTGATAGAAAGGACCAAGGGCTGAGGGTTAAGATAGAAACTAAAGTGTCAAGTGTCTCTTATAAGCCATTAGGAAAATGTTTACAGAGCTTTTTCAACAAATTTTGAATGTAATATACCTACTGAAAAATGTACAAATCAGTAGTGTACAACTTGGTGAATGTTCACAGCTAATGTACCTATGTAATGTAACTAGCATAGAACAGAACATTACCAACACTGCATAGCATTTTAATAATAGAGCATTTGTGTTAATAAGCAGGGTTCTTTTGACATCAGTTAGGAGAAAAAGTAAATGAGTTACTCTGGTTGAAAGTTTTTTTTTTCTCTCTCTCCCAACTAGCTGATGGTATGTTATGGGGGGTGTGGGGGAGGGGGTGGTATATGAAGCTAACAAGAAAATTAGCAGAGTACAGTTGTAATTGCCAAAGATTTAGAATAGCTAATAATTGGCAGCCGTCCAGGTGTCCGAAATAGAATGGCTAAACAAAACTGTGGTATATTCCTACAATGAAGTACTATTCAGTAATAAAAAGGAACAAACTGCTGATACATACAACATTGTAGATGAATCTCAAAAACTTTATACTGACAGAAGCCTTACACAAAAGAGTACATAGAAGTTCCATTTAGATGAGGTTCTGGAACAGACAAAACTAATCTGTCATGGGAAAAAAATCTGAGCAGTGATTGCCTCTGAGGGAAGAGGACAGGGACTGACCAGGAAGGGGCATGAGGGAACTTCCTGGGGTGATGGTAATATTCTGTAACTTCATAAGGGTTTGAATTTCACAGGTGGATGTACTTCTCAGAACTCATAGATGGTAAACATAAGATTTTCATATTTTATTTTATCTAAATTTTACTTCAAGAGAAAAACTACCTGAACAAATACTGAGCTCTAATTAATGATATACATGTGGAAGTATTTAGGGGGAAGTGTACAGATGTCTGTAACTGATTTTGAAATGCATCAAAAGATGAGATGAATAGAGGGATGGAGGCATAAAGGAATGGATGGATATGTAGTAAAGCAAGTAAAATATTAATGGTAAAATCTAGGTCGTTAGTGCATGGGCATTCACTGTAAATTTATTTCAACTTTTCTCTGTGTTTAAAATTTTACATTATAAAACCTTGAAGGAAAAAAACTAGGCAATCAGGAAAGAATGTAATAATCATGAAAACAGGACTTTTATGATGAATAGCTTGTCACAAATGAATATTGGAAGAGGGCAAAAGAAAATGTTTATAGGTATAAGGCAGATACTGTGGCCCATGGGCACAAATGACCTGCAGCATGTTATTTTAGGTCCACAAAATGTTTATTTTTATTTTTAATGAGCCTGTCTCTAAAACTAGAACTGTTTCACATAAAAATAGATTTCTGCCTGCTTATTTTATTTATTTTTAAATTTTATTTATTTATTTATTTTTGGCTGTGTTGGGCTCTCTCTAGTTGCTGCCAGCGGGGCTACTTTTTGTTGTGGTGTGCGGGCTCTAGGCACGCGGGCTTCAGTAATTGTGGCATGTGGGCTCTACAGCACAGGCTCAGTAGTTGTGGCGCACGGGCTCATTTGCTCCGCGGCATGTGGGATCTTCCCGGACCAGGGATCGAACCTGTATCCCCTGCATTGGGAGGCGGATTCTCAACTGCTGCGCCACCAGGGAAGTCCCGCCTGCTATTTTTAAAAGGATTTAGAAGACAAAGCAGTCATTGCAATAGAATAGAGACTCCAAAGGTAGATACAGATTTTTGTGGAAATTTTGTATATGATAAAGGTGGCATTTCATACCAGAGGAGAAGAGATGTATTACTCAGTAAAGCATATTGGACAAATGAGCTATCCATTTGGGAAAAGATAAAGCTCAAATCCTTTCACACTCATTAGGTAAATATAAATTCTAGATGGAGCAAAGATCTTAAATATAAAAAACTGTTACTAGAACCACTAGTCCATCAGTAGGTTTTATCTAAGTGGTTTAAACTGGAGATTTAAAAAAGGACAAAAGCCTGTGTCCCATATCATTTGATTCCAGTAAGTCCTGCCATATATTGGAAAGCAGAATGATGCATGCTTTTGGAGTCAGTAAGGTTTAAATCTTTTCTATGTCTTAATCAGACTTTTTTGCAAGCTACAAAAGCATTGTGGGCCTTAGTTTCCTCAACAATCAATCAATCAATATAAAACTTAAAAGAAAAACTACAGAGGGTTGTCGTCAGGAACTGAGATTATATTACATGAAACTCTTGCCCAATGCCTGCCTAGAGTGCATGTTCAATAAATGTTTAGTATAGAGGGATAGAGAAATAGATTTCCAACAGCTTAGGGGAACTGGCCCAGAGCAGAAATTTACCTGGAAAGGATGAGAAAATTCTTTGACATTTATTTCTATCAGCAGGCACTTACTGAGAGCCTGCTGCATGCCATGCAACCTATTCGGCACTAGAACTATAAAAATAAAAATAGAAGAAATTCCCACTTAAAAAAATCTTAAGAAAGTCAGGTTTTATAAGAAAGGAATTCAAGTAGTGAGAATTTTTATGATATTTGACAACTCCCTTGAACTTCATATTGTTATTGACTCTGAGACATTTTCTGGTGTGCTACAGTATCTTGTGTTAGTTAAAGGAAGCATAATGGAGAAGCAATTTCCTAAGAAAAATGAATAGTTCAGTTTGGCCACAACCACGAAAGATCCATTTCTTGGGATAACTATTAAGAGAGAATACATTACAGAGATGAAATACTCATGAAATTGCAAAGTGGTGGGTGAAATGGTGCTTGATAAATTTTTTTGTGTGCCTCTCTTACTTTTCCATTTAAATATTCTTGCTGGTTATTAGTATTTCCTTGGGCTAAGCTTACCAAACTGTTTGTCTACAGTAAATGAAGTCACAGAGTTCCTAGGTCAGTTTTGCTGATAAAACAAAATATTCCTGTTATTATAATATGATAATAATAATGTCTTAATCATTTTCAGTAAACAAGTTGATATAGAAATATTTTATCTTCTGTGCATTCTCAATACATAATGATATATTCTTTGGTAGATATTGTAAATAAAGGAACTTTAAAAAAAATTTTTTTTGTTTTAGTTTGCTGGAAACCATGTCTCACTATACAGATGAACCCAGATTTACCATAGAGCAGATAGATCTGCTTCAGCGCCTTCGACGTACTGGAATGACTAAACATGAAATTCTCCATGCCTTGGAAACTTTGGACCGTCTTGATCAAGAGCATAGCGACAAGTTTGGAAGAAGGTCCAGCTACGGAGGAAGTTCATATGGGAATACTACCAACAATGTTCCAGCATCTTCCTCTACAGCTACAGCTTCCACACAGACCCAGCATTCTGGAATGTCCCCATCACCTAGCAACAGTTATGATACCTCCCCACAGCCTTGTACTACCAATCAGAATGGGAGGGAGAATAACGAGCGATTATCCACATCCAATGGAAAGATGTCACCAACTCGCTACCATGCAAACAGCATGGGTCAGAGGTCATACAGTTTTGAAGCCTCAGAAGAGGACCTAGATGTAGATGATAAAGTAGAGGAATTAATGAGGTTAGTTCCTTTCTTATTCAGAGTCCTCCAAATGTTTATATTCTTAAGACTGATTTTGAGTAATGAAGCTGTATTTAAGCTCTTTACCTATAAGAACTGTGATGTCCCCTCCCCCTTTAGTGGTAAAGAAAAAAATAAAAATTTTTATGTTTTTAATTCAAAAACATTTAATTTTCTTCTCTACTTAAGTTCTTTCTCTTTGCTGCTTGATAAGTCTTTTCCATTCTCTCTGTTATCAAAGCAAAGGTTAGCCTTCTCTTTATGGCTCTAATCACTAACATCTGAATTTTCTGAATTTCTAACAAACACATTATAATCCTTAAATCCATTGTAAGTACTTGTTCTGATAGGTTGACTTTATCATGATATGTATACTCTTAATTTTTCCCTCCAACATGCCAATCAACAAAATAATTTTGACCATCTATTTGAAAAGCAATGTTCTTAAGCAGAAAAATAGACATGGTTTCTACCCCTAAGAAGCTAAAGTTCTAATTTTAGCAATAGATGCCATACACACACACGCACACACAAATTTAATGTTATCTATTACAAAATAAGTGTAAACACTTAGAGTTTGAAACACTGAGAGAAGAAGTCCAGTTTCAACAGAGGTGATTAGGAGAGGCTTCACCCTGGACCTGGGACATTTTGAGGGCAGCACTGATGTGCTTTCCATTGTTGTGTCTCCAGGATCTAGAACTGTCCTTAGCACATGTTAAGGGCTTAATATGTCAATTGAATGGAGGAATTTGAGCTAAGCTTTAAAGGATAGCTTCTGTTTTGAAATATAGGAGCTTTATTTAAAGTTAAGGGAATGGTAACAGGTAGAAAAGGCAAGACATGATTAGTCTTATAAAAACTGCAGATTGGCTAGATATGGTAATAAGAATAGTATATTAAGAGGCAGTACAGATTTTGGGAAGATTTGAATTCCATATACATAATTTATGTTTAACTTGGTGGAAATTAAAGGAGTTCTTACAGGTCTGTAGGAAAGAGTTGATAAAAGCATTGTTTTCAGTAGATTATCGCTACTGTAGTAGGGAGGAGAGCCTGCAGGTAGATTAGTTACAGTATATATGAAAGAAACCGTAGCAGGAATTTGTGAAATAAAATTATAACCTATAATTATGAGTTGTAGTTCTTCTGTAAGACTTTAGGACTTGAAGATAGTATAATGGTGACTTAATACTGCCATATGGAACATCTATCCTATAGTACCACAAAGGTAAAACATCTTTTGAACAAACTGTCCTGAATTTATTTTTAGGGTGGAACTGCCATATAGGGAATTCTGGGCTAAACGGACTATTGTATCTATTGTGTCAGCCAAAAAGTTCGTTTGGTTAATGAATATGTTCAATAAAGTTTTTGGTGGAAATGAAAAATGTCTTTTATTTTTACTTAAAACCGAATGAACTTTTTGGCCAATCCAATAGATTTCAACTTAATTCCTGTAATGAATAGTTTCATAGAGCAGCTACAGGACCCTATTATTTAAGCTTTGTGAAACTTAAAAATATAAAAGATCAGCTTGGCTTTTAATTCGTTTTCACTTGCTTAAACAGCTGGCCAAAGTTTAGATGTTCCTTTTGAATTTAACATCTATATCGCTGTCAAGATTAAGAGAGAGGACCATTTGGGCAAACAGAAGTTACTTTAGTAGTTAAAATGTAAGAAGGTTAGCTTTTAATTATGCTAGTAGAGTGGGTATCAACAAGAAAATTTGTTAGAATGCTAGCCTGATTTTTGTTGTTGTTGCCGTCGTTAATCAGTTTTAATGAGCTTTAAAAACAATAGTTAGTTCCCAAATGTGTGTTAGCCTAACAAGAAATTTGGGACAAAAGTCTCTGGAAGATTGTCCAGAGTCTAAAACTTGACTATAACGATCTAAAAAATTGACTATTAACTCTAAGGTTATCATAATGTTGTAGTTCAACTGTGTCCTCAAAATAAACAGAAAACCTATTTAGCCAGGACTAGGGTTTGTAGTTAAATCCAGCAATTACACACATTCAAGTTTCATCATTAGATATATATGTGTTTATAATTGTTATCAGTATTTAATTTACATACATCCTACCTTGTTGCATAGGTAGGATACTTTATGGCTTCTTTCTTAGAACTGCTCCTGTGGTGTCCTCTACTCATGTAGTGGTCTTGTTGAACCTTCTGGCTCTGTGGTCCTCTGCCATTGTGCCCTCACCCACATCTGCACTCTAACTTTGTGCCCACCTCTTGTTTTTCTCAAGTTTGCAAATAGTACCAATCCTTAGGTTTGAGGGAGAAGTTGATTACATGACTGGTTTCAACTTTTAATCATTACAACCATGCTGTGTGTGAGGTAGAGCAGAGAAATTGAGATTCACAAAAAATAAGTAATTGACCCAAGAAAACTTAAATATTAAGTGGCAGAGCTGAATTCTGACCAGTGTCTTTATTACCAGTGTGTCTGTCACTGGTATCTGTTGCCTCTGTAAATAAATTTTTCATGTGTGTAGATTTCAGTAAAATTTTAGGAATGGTGGTTAATGTAACTTAAGACAAAGCGTGAAAGCCATAATGGACTTACCCCCACTCTTCCCCCACGTGGTATTTGCCACGTCAAATCAATCACTTACTAGCCTAATGAGTTTTTATTTGGTAGAATGTTAGAGAAAGTTTTGGTAGTGAATCTTTCTGAGTACCCTGTGCCCACATAGGGCTACACTGCCCTTTGCCCACTCAGCACTGTGGTGATATAGTGGGTTGGATTTGGTGGTCTCTAGGTGGGGAGAATGGATCCCTGAATGCCTTCCTGCCTCCTTTTCTACATGTGTCATATGTAATTCACCTCTTGTATGCTTACATTCCCCAACCTCCAGAGCACTCAGCCGTAAGATAGAGCTTTCAAATTTCATAATCCACTGGGTCCACGAACTTAACTCCTAATAATTTCAAGGTATACAAAGGAGGCTTTTTTTTTTTTTGTAAAACTTGATTAATTTGTAACTGTATACCTGATTAGCTTGTTAAGAATCAGAAAGAGAGTAAATGCTACTTTTTCCATTTTTGGATTGATCAGGGTTAAAAAAAAATGAAAGGGAAACTAGAATGTGAATTCTCAGCAAATTGTTGAATATAACATTTTAGGAAGGATTTTAAAGCCAGGAGCTAGAATAAAGACCGATTTTCCATGTTAACATTTTTTAAAAGCATCTGTTAATATATATGTTTATATATAGGTGTATATGTACATCTGCTAATATAATAGTGTGTACCTATTAAAGTGTATCTGTCCTATTGTGTATATATAAAATAACAATTGAAATGAGGCTTAATCAGAATTAATAAACAATGTCATATAAAAGATATTATTCCTAACTACCCACGTACTAAATTTTCATGAGTGTTTAGCATGTTATCTAGGATCCTGAGACTTTCTTCTGAGTTGGTTATCCATATGCCTAGTAATAGCTTATTTACTTGTGTAGGTAGGGATTTATGTTCTAGAAGACATAATAATCAGTTACCATGTTGTTCACACAGATAGAATAGCTTTTGTTTTAACATTATCTTTTAAAATTCTAAATTATGCTTTATCTCCATGAGTAGAAATTAAAGTGAAAAGGTTTTTATTCATATGTGAAAGAATTTGTGTGTAATTATATTTTCCCACCTGTGAAATAGTCTGTCTTGGTAGGTATTGCTCCATCTCTGGGAGTCTTTGAGATAGATGTCTACTTTAAAGGGTCCTACAGAATGTGTAGTGTATATCAACTAAGAGAATATGGAAGATCTTAAAGCGTACCACTTTTAAACATTCAGTCTTTAATAGCGTTTGTTCCAGAAAAGGAAATATTACCGTTTTGAGCTAGTATACATAACTCTCTTCCATTCTGTTTTGGGAAGCTTAAACATATTTGATATTAAGAATTTAGAGCTGTTTTATAAATTATCTAGATCACGTTTTCCATTTTACAACCTTTTATCTTCAACTACAGATTTGTTCATTCATGGAACAAATTAAGCTCTATTATATGCAAACCCCATGATGAGTAAGACACAATCTTTGTGCTAAAGGACTTTGTAGGCTAGTAGGAGAGATAAGACCAGATCAGGAGCAACTATAATACAGAATAGCATGTAATATATTCACATGTGAGTAGTATAAACAAAATGGTAAAGTTAGTTATTGGAAGAAAAGATCTTTTTTAGCTCTGAGGATCAGGGAGAACTTCTCTGAATAGGTGGCAATTATTATTATTTTAAGGTGTCTTTAAAAAGGGTAATTTCACGAAGAGGCATTACTGAGTGTATGTAAGTGGTTAGATACAAATAGAGTGGAAGTTTATCTTGGAAATAAACTGTAGAGTCAAAGAAAGATCAGCCTACACTTCACTTTTATTCCATAAGGCTGGAGGAGCAGAAATCATGAGAAGTGTGAGATTTTATAAGATAAGGGAGGAAAAGTGGATTCATTCTCCTTAAAGATGTCAAATTTTAGATGAAGAGAGGAAGTAAGGAGTAGATGAAAGAGTTAGATTTGGAGTCAATGAAGGAGTTTTCACACCAGGAAATCGGTGACTTCACAGGGTACAGTGTGGACAACATTAGGAGAGGCAGGTCGTTAAAGAAGGTGGAATGAGTGAGGGGGAATATGTGAAAGTTTAAAGAACAGATTTAACCCAGTAGAATGGAAGTTTTTGAAATACATAAGAGAACTGGACACAGTGAAAGTTAAATGCTGTTACTATTTTGAAAATACCTAGTGTAACCAACCAAATGACACAACACTTGTATCTAAATTGACTGTGTAGAAGTCTTTTCATGGTGCTTTAAAATACCCAATGCAGATGTTTACTTCAGTCTTACGTACTTAGGGCAGATCGTTTGTTTATTCTTTTCCTGGGATTCTTTCCAGGGTATTATAAAATAATAGTCATTGTTTATGTAGTGCTTTTACAGTTTCAAAAAGTTTTACATTGAAGAATTAAAAAAATTTTTATACTATATACACACACACATTTGATATTAAACTTTGTTTAAATTTAATTTCACTGCTTGGAGAAGAATCTTAAAAGGCTTGTGGTGGGGGGTATTAATGTTCTCATTTTACCAGATGATGCAACCAGCTTTATTAAATGACTTGCCCAAGCACACTCTTATCTTTTAAGTTTTATGTTTTTCTTCAGCTTGAAAAAGCTTCTCTCTGGTAAAGCAGTTGAGTAAAGCGGTTTTTTAAAAACTCATTGTGGGTGCTTAGCAACTTGCCAAGGATCTAAAAATATAGTCTCTGAGAGAGGGTAAGTGAACTGCTGCTCTCTTGCAGACTTTTTGGGGTTCCTTCTGTCTTGCTGCAGTCCTTGGTAATATCATACTGCAGGGCTGTGAATAATTCACAAACCGGATATGCCCTACTGGAATAATTGTGTGTTATCTCCTCTTTGTGACTTAGTCTCTAGGTGAAATTGATTTTAAATAAATTGATTTAAATTCCAATTTAAATCAGTAATCAAGAAAATACCATTTAATCATTTTCCCCACAGAAGCACATTTTTATTTAACCTTAATAGATAGTATCTTAAACTCAGTTTTCATTTTCCTAGAGGGACATTCTATACATTGAAATGTAATGCTTTATTTAAACTTTTTCAGGTTAATTTTGCATCTGTATCAGAAACCAAATGATTTGGTTGTTTTATTTACATAAGCCAATTGAAATAGATACTGCTGAAGTTTATCTTGCTCTACTGATTGTTGATGGATATTTGACAGCCATATGATAATGTAGACAGTTATTTTGTTTGACATTAAAATGTATTTCTTTGTGCCTTTTTCTTTCAGATACATAATTTTTAAATGAGAATGATACTTTTCAAAGAAATATTTCAAATATAAATAAGCATTGTGGAAGGAATCTAGGGAGTATCTAGATCAGTAGGAGAAATTTCAAATATTGGATTAGGCAGTGGCCTCTTTCTTTTCTTCCTTTGGGAATCTTTTTGATTAGGATTTCCAGCCAGTAGATGAGGAGTAGACTGGAGCTCCAGGTTGGAAGCTGTCCCTACTACCACTTCTCTGCTCTTTTCCAGAATTCCTCAAAGGGAGCATGGAATTCACCAACAGAGTGTACAGCTCCTCCTCAGCAAAGGACTGCAAATCTGCTCTGAGTGAATCACAGCTGATTCTTAGGGGATAGGATACTTTCTTTCCTTGTTCCAAATAATCTGTAGAGAGACTTGAGCTCCTATAAGGAGTCTGTGGATCATTCACAAAATGATTTGTAAAGATGTCATGATCCCTTTGTCTCAGATCAGGGGTTCACAAACTTTTTCTGTAAAGGGTTAGATGGAAAACATTTTAGACTTCGTGGCCAAGAGGCAAAGTCGATATAATATAGATACTTACATACAAGAGAGAGAAAGCAAATGGTCACAAATTTTTATTTGCAAAATTCAATATAGAATAATTAATAATTGAATACAGTTTTAAAAATACAGGCCTACTAATGAGAAGAATGGAATTTTTTGGTGGGGAGAGGATAATATTTTGCTTACTTCATGTTCAAAGTTAGTATTCCCTGTCCTCAAATTGACTGTGAATGTTCATCTGTGAAAACTATTCTTAGCTCATAGGTTGTATAAAAACAGGTGGGAGGCCAGATTAGTCCATGGGCCATAGTTGCTGACCCCCTGTGTTAGACCATAAATTGCCACTCTTCTGTTACTTTTGAGCTTGAATGAAATTCCATTTATGTAATCCTTTTGAACATTCAAAGAGAAATTGGTCTTTAAGGCTTTAAGTATAATTTTTACTGAAGTATTCTGTTTGTTCTGGTGGAGAAACAGAAGTCTTGCCATTCATTGTCATTCTAGTGAATGTCTAGTCTTTTGAGAATTTGTTGAATTTTTAAATAAGTAAACATTTATAAGGCATCTAGTGAAGGAAAAATTAGGTCTATAATATGTAATCCCAAGGACACAAAATATAGTGTAGTTTTAAGTATTAAGCATTCTGTATATTACATGTACTAGGAAATTAGTGTCTTTTATATTAAAATTTTATATTCAACCCATCCTACTTAAAATTTTTTTGGGTTATTCAGGACAAAGAAGGCGAATTAAAAGGCAGAGCCCTCTTAAAATGGCTAATAATTTAGCAGTTGTGAGAATGATGATTTCTATTCCTTTAACAAAGGTTTTCAAATGAACTGAACATTATTTATGCAGTTGCGTAGTTAACATGCGAAACCACAGTCTACTCACAACTGATTTTTGTTGTTGTTGTTGCTTTTTATTTTTCTAGGATTTCTGTCTGTGTAAGATATATTCATTACCCAGTAATGAAACTTTGTATATACCATATGGCAGCCTTGTTCCTAATGTGAATTATAAACAGCATGCGATTAACCGTCCTCTGGTATGAGATTTATATCTACTGTGGCATTCACTGAAGCGTCTGTCTGATGGTGTGATGTTTTAGGACTTGAATATTTGGTGTTTCTTGGTTTGTTTTAATTTCATATTTTCACACAAGCTTGGTCTGTTTACCTTTATTTTTGTGTCCTTTCTTTCTGTGTTCTCCCCACCTCTCTGCTTCACCTTTCTTAGCAAAGATGAGGATTTCTACCTTCAACATACATTGTTGGTCTTGTCTTCTGTTTTTGTTAGGAGGGACAGCAGTGTGATAAAAGAGGAAATCAAAGCCTTTCTTGCCAATCGGAGGATTTCCCAAGCAGTTGTTGCACAGGTAACAGGTAAGAGCTGAAGAGCCCTTTATTCTGGAATCTTGTCTAGTCTCTGCCTTCTAGTGCAGATGTTGGAATATTGCTTGCATTTCTGCATTACAGTGCAGATCTGTCAGCTTAGGCATAATAATGTATGCCTGTGATTTAAAACCCATTGTCTCCGACATCTTGGAACTTCTCCAATGACTTTTTTTTTTTACTTGTGCTAGTAAATTTTACAGCATTTGTAATAAGCACAAAATTCCCTATTTTATGGCTAAAAAAGGATTCTCTGGTTTTCTTGTAATTGTGACAGAGCTTATGACACATGCACATCCAACTGCTATCTACATTTCATATTTTTAAAAGCTTCACAGTCCTCCAAATCCAATCCCTGATTTTACCAATTAAAAATTGATGCATGAGAGTAAAGGAAGTTGTGTTTTTTCAACCACTTTTCTGTATGTGAAAGCTTTCCTCAAAGCATTACTGAGAAGATAAGAATTACCAGTGTCTTCTCTTTGTTTTTTATATCCCATCCCATTACCCACCCCACCGCAGCCCCATCCTGAGTATGTGGTGTATATGTGTCATTCTCTATTCAGATTGCATTTTTATGGAGTTCTTGAATTTTGGGGTAGCATGTGTTTTCTTTGTTGGTCTGTAGTCTTCCTTTCTTGGATATCAATGATTTATAAGACCTTAATAAAATCAACTATGTCTTAGTCATGAGAGGAACCAGAAACTCTTTCAACTACATGTTGTAGTTGATACATTGTTGTGTGTTGTACATTGACGGATATGAAAATTAATTTGTTCCTCCCCTTCCTTTTTTTAACATGCCACTAGCAGCTCTGTGACTTCGGGCTTTTTAGCCTCTGCACCTCAGTTTCTTACTTCTACAATGATATAGTTGGATCTGGTCTTCAACAGTACCTTCCAATTTTAAGATACTATTTCTATTCTCTAGACATTGATACATATTGATGCTTATTTACCTAAACGGTTGTTATTGACCATTTATTTGGTTAAAAATGAAACTTGAGATTTCAGAAGTCTTAAATTTCACACCAAGAATCTAAGGTCAGCCAGTCTTAATATGTGTGTAACATATTACACTAGTAATGTATTTTTATAAATGACACTTCCGTTCGTGGTAAAAAGAAAAAAATTTAATTAAAGGCATGTCCCTTCGCCTAGAAATCTTAAACAAAAGGGCAGTGTGTGAATTTAATTTTTGTAATCTTCAGTTGTTTTTCAGTAGGATATTTAAAATAAATTGTTAGCTTTATCTTCAAGGATTAAGGCATGGTGCTAAGGGCATTGTAAGGGCAAGTTAAGTGGGTTTTACCAAAACCCACTGATGTGCACTATGGAAAGATGGAGCATTGTCTTTCAGGACTTTTGTTTCAGCCCCCAAGATTAGTAGCAATAGTATCTTCTAGCTTGTCAACCTCAAAAAAAAAAAGACAAAATCGTACTGTTATAGACAGCATTATAAAGTTGAATTTGCCCAAGTGGAAATATTTCTGAATGTCTAGAATACCCTGACTCTTGAATCATCTTGGACTTTTTAAATAATATCTTTTGAAACCCATCAGACGTTGATGCAAATTATAATAAAATACCTTTAAAAGGAATTTCTTAGCCATATCTAAAGCATTAGTTATACCATTCATCAAATCCTGCCTTTTTGGGGTTTTTGTTTGTTTGTTTTGTTTTTTCTATTCAATATTTTTCCTTAAGTTTTTTTTAAAACTTATTTTATACTGGAGTATAGCCAATTAACAATGTTGTGATAGTTTCAGGTGTACAGCAAAGGGACTCAGCCATACATATACATGTATCCATTCTCCCCAGTACTGCCTTTTGGAAAGGGAAATTAAAAGATGTTTTAGCATCTTGCTACTCAAAATGTAGTCCATGGGACAGCAGTATTGGAAGCTTATTAGAAATGTAAAGATACAGAGTATCATGCTATACCTACTGAATCAGAATTTACATTTTAACCAGATCTCCAGGTGATCTGGGTGTGAGAAGTGCAGTTCTAGGAGACTGGTAAGCTTTCCTGATGCTAATTTCAATGGATTGGCACTGTTTAACATTGCCCCAGTCAGTGACAGTCATCATGATGCCATCTCCTGTTTTTGAAAGCAAGAGTTGAAATTTTTACACAGGTATTATCTGTTATAACACATGGACTTTTCTTTTGCCACTGTAATCATAAGATTTGGTACTGTTAAAACTTCTTGCCCACATTTCTGCCTCACCCCAACTTATTCTTCCTCCTCTTCATTCCTAGTCCAAAAGCTGGTTCATTTCCCCTTGATCAGATATCTTTAATGTTCTCCATTGTCTAGCAAATGAAACGCTTTATAATCTACTGCAGCCTTCTCTTTATATCCTTCTCCTATTCAGTATAATCCCTAGCTGGATTCAGCTATGTGCCATTTTTAGTATTCTGGTCACCTGGATGCTAATAAATCATTGATTGTGTCTAGGACACCTTCACCTCCTCACCTTGGTCTTATCAATTCCTGTTTATCAACATTACCTCAGTTATTATCCTCATTCTGACTTCTTTGATCACTTTAGCCCATGTAGACCTCTCTTTTTTCTGAAATTAATACACTTAGTTTACCACCCTGAGATATTAAACCTCATTTCAGTTCTGCATTTTATAGTAGTATTCTTTAAAAGCAGAGATCTTTCTTAGACCTACTCAAAGAGTCTAGCATTGCACATACTCTCTGAAGATCTCATGTTTACCTAGAAAGGGAGTATTGGTGAAGCTAACACAAGCTACACATGTGAAAATTTATCCAGTATGACTTTGTCCAGTGGTGTTCCCCCTCTAGAAATATTAATTTGCTCAACAAATGCAGCATTAATTCCTGCCCTTAAGAAATTTGTATTTTTCTTTTATCTACTTTAATTCAATTATTTACATAAGCCAGGGGAATGAGGATGATTTATAACCAGATTGGTTCATTGTCCTTTTGGTCAGCTAACTGAATTCACGTATTTCTCATGTATTACTGTGTTACATTTTCACCCAGCCTGTCCAGCCATCAAACTAAACTCAGGGGCAGTGCTTTTCATTCCAGAAAAGACATCCGGCTAGAGAATGGTGAGTTAGAATCAGTATGAAGCTTGGCCCTCATAATTGGCCCACCTGAGAAAGAGTGGCCCGAGTGAGGAAGCCTTCCAGGTGCCCAGGGCTCACTCCTTGGGGTACCTGATTAATATATAGGCACATTTTTCTGTCTAAACAAATTAATCAAGTGTATCTTAAAAGAATGTGTACCTGATGAAATCTACCACAAAATAAAGTTTAGGATATGGTGCTCTGGAATCTGTCCTGTATTGGAGTCTCTTAAAGTCAGTTAAGTTTAACTGTAATATGTGAAATAATGAAATAAATCAACCTTGGGATGAAAATGAGAACGAGTGGTGCATAACAAAAGGAAATGCTAAATAAAAATGTGTAGTGAGGTGCAAAATTATAACACATGGGCTTGTTCCAGAAACAAAATACAGAGGCTTCTTTTTATAGATTTGGAGGATTTCTATAATAAGATAAACAAGAAGTTCATGGGTGGGGTCTGTATAAATAATATCCTACTGATAGGAAAAATGACAGTATAAACAGGATATAATAACAGTGCCTGCTGAATTTCCCAGCATGTTATTTGTAGCTTTTTTCACAGAGTCACAGCTGCTCCCACCAAGGGTGGATTTTTACCTCTGTAAGAGGTCGAGCAACTTTCTAAATTCTCACTAACAGTGGTGGGGTGGGGAACATACATAGCCTTTGCTTTAGTAATAAATACGTATGTTTTATATTCACTTTCAGGGTGAAACATTTTCTTGGGCTATTAGAATTCTTAAAACATGATTTTCTTTTTAAATGACCTCTGGGAAAAATCACGCTGGCAGAATAAATGAGTAAATGGGCAATGCTTGAGTGAGTGCTTATCAGCTAAATAAATATACTAATTAGATTCATGTCCTCTTAAAAAATAAATAAGTGAAAGAAGAAAAATTAATCATCTCTGAATTTTAAGAAATTTATCATAATTCTGTTTTCTTGAATGATAGCAGTATAATGGAAAAGTGACCATTAAACTTTTGAATCCCAAAATTCTAGTCCTTCTGTCAAATAGTCTTGTGATCCAGGACAAATCACGTAACTTCTCTGAGCCTCAGTTTCTTTATTTATAAGACGAGAGGTTTGACCAAATGTTTTCCAAGTATCTTTTCCAGTTGTCAAGTTTCCGTTCTGTTTTTAAACTGTTAAGTACATTTAACAAGTATGCATGTTACCCCTATCTAGTGACTCTCATTCCCAAAATGTAAGAATTTGTATAAAGAGAAGCTCTGAAACAGTTTCAGAAGTGTTCCAGCTGTATTCAGATCACTTCCCTTTTCTTAGTTATCTTTAAAATGAAGAGTAAAAGCACTACATATTCAATTTAATTATGATAATTTCTTTACAAAGTAGAACTTCAGACCAGACACTAAAAACCAACTAAAATGTCAATATACCTTTTTTTAAAAATAGACTTTATGTTTTAGAGTAGTTTTAGGTTCACAGCAAAAGTGAACAGAAAGTATAGAGAGTTCCCATATACCTCCTGCCCCTCCACACACACACAGCCTTCCCTACTCTCAGCATCTTGCACTAGAGTGGTACTTTATTATAATATGAACCTACGTTGTCACCCAAAGTCCATAGTTTACTTTAGGTATAGATAGTTTTGTACATTCTATGGGTCTTGAAAAAAGTGTAATGACTAGTATCTACCATTATAGTATCAGAAGATGATACTGTAGTTTAATTGCCTGAAAATCCTCTGTACTCCACCTATTCGTCCTTCCCTCTCTCTCCCCTAACCCTTGGCAACTGCTAATCTTTTTACTGTCTCCATAGTTTTGCCTTTTCCAGAATGTTATCATATTCTTTTCAGGTTGGCTTCTTTCACTTAATAATATGTATTTAAGGGTCTTTAATGTCTTTTCGTGGCTTGATAGTTCATTTCTTTTTAGTGCTAAGTAATATTCCACTGTCCAGATGTACCACAGTTTATTTATCCATTCACCTACTGAAGGACATCTTGGTTGCTTTCAAGTTTTGGCAATTATGAATAAAGCAGCTCTAAACAAGTAGAATTTATATCTATATTAGAAAAGCAGTGTTGGTAGGGCATAAGTCACAGACTATGGTATTGTCCTATTATAATACAACCAAACATAATTATAATGCTTATTTAACAAGATTTTATCAATTCCTACCTAATGAATTTTACTAGTTTTATGTAGAGCTCCACTATGAAGGCTATTATCTGTATAAAATGCACAGATTTCTGTATATGAGATGGGACTTGTGTCTCCAAATTGAAAAGGTTTAGAGCTTTAATTTCTATTAGGAGAAAACTGCTTTTCAAATATAAATGTTTTTGCAGAGTGCATTTTAGGATTTTCCCTTGTCTTGCAGCCTCTGAAGAATAAGAACAGATGTTGTCCTATGGTTCAAAAAATTCTTACTTTTATTCTCATTTTCTTCTATGTTCTGCAATTTGTTGCCAAACTGTTTTCTTGTAAACATAACACATAAGGTTACCTTTCTTTTCCGTAGGAAAAAGTCCAGGCTATATATCTGAATACCCATATTTTCTCCCTTTGATGATGGCTCTGAAAAATTGGAGTGAAAATAATTTCAGAGGACACTCTTTGTTGTTAGAAAATCAGTTTTCTACAATTCTTGAAATTTATTGTCCTACCAGGGCTTTTATCATCTCAAATGCAATGTACAGGGACATACATTTTTGGTGTTAAAAAACTAAGGAGGGTTGGTTTTCAAGTATAAAATAAGATTTCTCTTCCACCTGTATTTAAAGTAGAAACTATATTTTAAAAACTTTTATTCTACCACAAGCTTTGACAAAAGTGATTTTAAAAGGTTAGACACAGATGTGGTTTTTCCCCCTTCATTAATTTTCACTTTTGTTTCTCCCCAATTCTTGCTTGCTAAGATCATGGAGAAAAGTCTGTACTTAAGGTATAATATTCCTTCAACAGCTTTATGAAATCCGTCTTACCTAACGTAAGTTAATTTTCTTTATATTAAAAAAAGCCTACAGTGAAAAATGACAGAAAGAAGAAATACCCTAGTAAGAGTCAGAAAGTATCTGTGTCTGATAAAATAGCATAACCTAAAGTTCAGCTGTAGTCAGTATTATAAATAACAACCTACAGAAGAAGGCTCTGAAGGGAATGGAATAAATACCACTTTTTGTAAATTACAAATATGGTCTTTTATACATTAAGGAATTATTTTGTTAACTCTTGAAGTTTACTCAGGGATAGATCTTAAATCAAAGAATTTGACATCAGTTGCTACATTTATTTAGGTGAGGAACTGAAGCTTGAACTAACCAAGCTGGAGGGCCTTGATATCTGAGAGACCTATAAAATTTTGAAACAATCATTCAAATTCTTACGGCCTTAAGAAAGCTTTTAACATCAGCGTGTGTCAGCTTCAGCTAAATTTAACTACAGTTGATCCTTAGACAACAGGGATTTGAACTGTGTGGGTCTACTTCTATGTGGATTTTGTTTTTCAATAAATACATACCACAGTGTTTCACAGTCCACGGTTGTTTGAATCCACAGATGCAGAAACTGCCTATCTGGAGGGCCAGCTGTAAAGTTATACTTGGATTTTGGACTGGGCAGGGAGGTCAACACCTCTAACCCCCAGGTCAACTAACTATATCATTTGATCCTCACAAAATAAACTTTTTTTTTTTCACATGGATGTCTAATTGTTAGAGTATCATTTTTGGGAATAGTCAACAGTTGTCAAGACACTAGTCTTTCCCTATTAACTTACATTGGCACCTTTATCAAAAATCAGTTGAATGCATATGTGTGAGTCTGTTTGTGGGTTCTCTCTTGTCATCCGTTGGACTTTATATCTATCCCTATACCAATACAAAACTGTAAATTACTGTAAACTTATAGTAAATCTTGAAATCAATGTGTAATTTCTTCCAACTTTGTTTTTCTTTTTCAAGATCACTGTTGATATTCTAGGTCTTTTGCACTTCCATATCATTTTAAAATCAGCCTCTCATATACCCTGAGAAAACCATAATTCCAAAAGAGTCATGTACCAGAATGTTCATTGCAGCTCTATTTACAATAGCCAGGACATGGAAGTAGCCTAAGTGTCCATCAACAGATGAATGGATAAAGAAGATGTGGCACATATATACAATGGAATATTACTCAGCCATAAAAAGGAACGGAACTGAGTTATTTGTAGTGAGGTGGATGGACCTAGAGACTGTCATACAGAGGGAAATAAGTTAGAAAGAAAAAAACAAATACCGTATGCTAACACATATATATGGAATCTAAAAAAAAGAAAAAGAAAAAAGAAAATGGTCAGAAGAACCTAGGGGCAAGACGGGAATAAAGATGCAGACCCACTAGAGAATGGACTTGAGGATATGGGGAGGGGGAAGGGTAAGCTGGGACAAAGTGAGAGAGTGGCATGGACATATATACACTACCAAACATAAAATAGATAGCTAGTGGGAAGCAGCCACATAGCACAGGGAGATCAGCTTGGTGCTTTGTGACCACCTAGAGGGGTGTGATAGGGAGGGTGGGAGGGAGGGAGATGCAAGAGGGAAGAGATATGGGGACATATGTATATGTATAACTGATTCACTTTGTTATAAAGCAGAAACTAACACACCATTGTAAAGCAATTATACTCCAATAAAGATGTTAAAAATAAATAAATAAAATAAAGTCAGCCTCAATTTCTATGACAAAAGCATATTTGTAGTGAGATTGTGATTGGGATTGTGTTGAATATATAGGTAAAGCTAGCATCAAGAATCTCTTAATCATATTGAGTGTTCCCATCTACGAACATGGTATATCTCTCCATTTGTTTAGGTCTTCTTTATTTTCCCTCAGCCATGTTAGTAGTTTTCAGAGTACAGGTCTCACACATATTTTCTTAAATTCATCTAAATATTTTATACTTTTGGTATTACTATATTGGTACTATTTTTAACTTCAATTTCCAGTTGTTTGTTTCTTGTGTCATAGAATAGTTGATTTGGGTATATTGACGTTCTGTTTTGTAACCTTGCTAAAAATTCATTTATTTGGTACATTTTTTTGTAGCTTTTTTTTGTAAATTCTTAGGATTTTCTACATGGACAGTCATGTTTTCTGTGAATAGAAATAATTCTGCTTCTTCCTTTTCAATGTGTATGTCTTCTATTTCTTTTTCTTGCCTTATTGCATGGACTAGGACTGCTAGTTAAACATTAAATATATCTTTGCCTTTTTCTGAATCCTAGAGAGCAAGAATGCAATATTTCACCATTAAGTGTCATCTTAGCTGTAGATTTTTCATTGATGTCCCATATCAAGATGACCTTTAAGGGCAGTTCCTGTCTATTTCTAGTTTCTGAGAATTTTTATCATGAATGGATGTTCTGTACTGTGTCAAATGCTTTTCTGCATCTGTTAGTTGACCACATGGGTTTAGTTTTTTAGTCTTATTAATATGGGGAATTACACTGGTTGATTTTCAAATGTTAAACCTTGCATTCTGGGACTTCACTGAATTATGATGTATTATTCTTTTATATGGTTTGATTCAATTTGCTGATATTTTGTTAAGAGTTCTTGCATCTGTGTTCATAAAGGGGTATTGTTCTGGGTTTGTGTTGTTATTTCTATTTCTTGTAACGTCCTTGTCTAGTTTTGTTACTATGATAATATGACCTCATAAGATGAATTGGGAAGTGTTCTCTTGTATTTTTAGAAGAATTGGCATAGAATTGTGTTATTTCTTCCCTAAATATCTTTTTTTGAGACTATGCTTTTTTTTTTTTGCGGTACATGGGCCTCTTACTGTTGTGGTCTCTCCCATTGCGGAGCACAGGCTCCGGACGCACAGGCTCAGCGGCCATGGCTCACGGGCCTAGCCGCTCCGTGGCATGTGGGATCTTCCCGGACCGGTGCATGAACCCGTGTCCCCTGCATTGGCAGGTGGACTCTCAACCACTGTGCCACCAGGGAAACCCCTGAGACTATGCTTTTTTTATTATAGTGAATATCTTAAACTTGGTAATGACTTACTGTCTAAATCTAATCCTGTAGGACTTGTACCCTGTACTGAAATCAGCAAACTAGAATGTAGAATAGTAGAGATTTGGGGGTCACTAATACTTCAAAGATTGCCAGCACTTTTCTACATGATTTTACCCTCGGCAGAAATATTTTTCTCTTGACAGTTGGCTAGGATAGAAGGATTACAGACCACAAACTAAATTGAATTTGCTTTAGAGACAACAATAGCCCTTCCCCTGTGCCCTAGTATGCCTGAGTAAAGAACATCATTTTCACTGACTTAAGCTATGGGATTTTGCTTTTTGTGTTAGTTTTACAAATATTGACTGACCTATCTCTAAATCTGTTCCCAAACAGATCCATGGACAACATCTTGGTTTTTGGACACATTGATTTTAATGTACATGTCCAATATAACCTTGGCCCAAGGTTGCTGTCATTATTCATGATGAGAATCATAGCAGAGTTTTTTAGAAACATACTTAATGTGATCTCTTTTGAATATTTCTAGACTTTTTAAGAACTAGAATATCCTATTTTCTGAAAATTGTTTCTTTTTTCTCCTTTGTTTTAAACATACAGATTTTCTGTTGTGCAAGTCCTTCCATCGCTAGATATTTTTGGAAGGATATTCATTACCAATTTGTCTTGATTTTTGTAGGATATAAAGAGTGACTTTGAAATGTTTGAGTGCTATGTGTTAAAATAATTATCACACATAGAAAGAACTATATCTCTTAAAGCACTGTTGCCCATGCTATTTTGAGTCTTTAGCTCAGCTTTTTCATTGTGTTAAATACCTATCAGGACAGCATATAGTGCTCTGAGTTGTAGAAGACCAATTGCTCTGCTTTTTACTACTGTGCACCTTGTTAGCTACACCTGTCTTTTTGGGGAGCTTTTTATTTTTAGCTATAATGTATTTTAACACTAAGTGCTGGATGCTGTGCTGTTTTTTATATTTGAGAGGCAGGTGTTAACTTCTTCAGTTATAGATGAGAAAACTGAGGCTAAAGGAGATTGAATCATTTGCCCATAGTCACACAGCTAATTACTGTTTGTCTTGCTGCAAAGCCAGTGTTCTTGACCTGGCATTTCAGTATGTAAAGGCAATATAGTGCAGTGGTCAAGTACATGACTTTGAGAATTTAAAATATTATTTCTGTCACTTACTGGTTATGTAACTTTGGGCAACTTATTGAATGTCTTAAACCTCAGTTTCTTCTTTTGGAAAATGAGAAGAATAATGATACCTACCTAAGGGTTCTTGAGTAGATTAAATGAGTTTGTTTATGTAAAGTTTCTGGCACATAGTAAATGCCATAGAAATTGTTTATTATTATGATTATTAACCATTATACTGCTTAATGTTCAGCCAGCAATCATTTCCCCTTCATCTCTCTCCAGACTGACTTTTCTGAAGTTAAGCTTCCTGAGACTAAATATGTTAACCATAATGTTTCAAGCCTTGGACCAACTTATAATGAACTTTAAAAAATATATACCACCCCCATGTTCATTGCAGCACATTTGCAATAGCCAAGACATGGAAACAACCTAAGTGTAAATCAGTGTATGAATGGATAAAGAAAAATTTGTGACAACATGGATGGACCTTGAGGGCATTATGCTGAGTGAAATAAGTTAGACAGAGAAAGACAAATACTGTAAGATATCATTTATATGTGGAATCTTAAAAAACAAAAAACTCATAGATACAAAAAAGAGATTGGTGGTTGCCACAGGCAGGGTATGGAGGGTGTGCAAAATGGGTGAAAGGTGGTCAAAAAGGACAAATTTGCAATTATAAGGTAAATAAGTCCTGGGAATATAATGTACAGCATGGTGACTATAGTTAACAAAACTGTATTGTATATTTGAAAGATGCTAAGAGTGGATCTTAAAAGTTCTCGTTCTCACATACACACAATGTTTGTAATTATAAATGGTGATGATGTTAACCAAACTTGTGGTAATCATTTCACAATAAGCGCATTTATCAGTCATTATGTTGTACACCTAAAACTAACACAATAAAAAATTTTTTCAACATAAGTGGATTTTAATGTAACAAAATTTACATTAATGAAAAAGTTTAGTGAGTTGATTTCACATTCAGCATTGCAGCTAACCTTTAAGAATATATCCACTTGTCAAGTTTCAGTGTCGTATCAGAGAATACCACAGTTTTGGAAAAAGCTATTAATATAGCCCTTCCATTTCTATCTTAAAAAATAAGAAAACACTGTCTAAATTTCATCTTGACATTAGCATAGGGAACTTGCTTCACCATGACTAGCCTTCCACAGTTTGACATGCACAAAATTGCCTTAAAAATGTTATTTATATAATTACATCTAATACTCTGAGCAGAATTAAGAAGTAGAGAGGACAAACTCCAGCTCCCCTTGTGGCATGGTCTTCCTTCTCTCTTCCCCATAATCCTTCTGTTTGCTGACCATACCAGCATTCTGTCTAGTATCCCCATTTTCTTATTCTGAAGAACGGGAAATCGGTTGTGGTGGCTGCACAACTCTTCGAGTGTACTAAAGACCATTGAATTGTACACTTTAAATGGGTGAATTGTGTGGTATGTGAATTATATCCCAATTAAGCTGTTTTAAAAAGAGAAAAGGGAAGGAATAAA